AGCTGCAAGAGGAGTTGCACCACTAAATTACAGCTGATTGTGGTATATCTAAACTTCCCACAAAGTGCCAGAATGCTCATATTTTGGCAAACAAACACTTTTGCCAGATTTTCTGTCAAGTTGCCTGATTTTTGATGAGATTTAATGGGTGAATGATTAAACTTAGTGGGCTCATCCAAACCCTGGACAGTCAACGTAGTATCTTGTTCTCTCTACAAATGTAGTTGTCATTAACAGATGAAATTACAATAAAATGTCTTCAAAACCCTGCTTTAATTACATGAACTTTAGGGCCGGATATATTAATAAAATGTGGTGAATTTTAAAATCAGCTACTTTTTTAGTCTCATTTCATTTATTGACACTTTCATTTTCCATACACAGACTATGTGTATACACAGACAGACATGTGTGTGTGTGTGTGTGTGTGTGTGGAGGCCGAGGTAGTCATTGGAACATTATTGGTTATTCTAGAAGAACAGACTGTGACATTTAATAATGTGCCCCTGTCTTCTCATCTGAAATACCTGGAGCTCTCCAGGTACATTGGTCTGCTCAGCTCAGTATCAGGTGTAGAGAACAGATGAAGCCCTGAACTAACAAAGTACAGCTTAACACACACACACACACACACACACACACACACATTAGGCACTACCTCACCCTTCAACAATGTTGTATTTGTCTAACATCTGATCTCCATATGATAAAAAAGAACAGTATATTAGGCAGGACACCCACACCCACACGTGCGCACACACACACACACACACACACACACACATCTTTAGATGGTTATCATATTTAAATTTTCATTAGCTGTGGGTGGCACTTTGTCACAATCTGTGTGATGCTCCTACTCGTATTAGAAGCAATTAGTATTTAAGAGATAAGACTTATGTGCACATTGTTGTGTGTTTACAGAGCACATATAAACACATGCATACTGAAAGGGAACAATTATGTTACTTATTGATAACAAAATAAAAGGTAGTAAAAAAAGACAAAACAGGAATATGGCAATGTTTTCACAATTGTGACAGACAAAAACACCACACATACTCAGAGCCCACAATCACATTCCTACACTCTCACACACGACCCCTCCGCCACTCCCCATGGCTTAGAGAAATTACTGCCACCTGAAGCGGAACCCCGTCCATCACGTAGAGGCCCCCAAAAGCCCAACAGGTGTTCTTTAACATGTCCAAAGCCCTGCTCCACCCCCACCCCCCAGCTCCCTCATCTGGCTGCAGAGGAGGACATCAAAACAAAACACATCCCCAGGGGGAAGACCTCACAGCTAACTACGCACATGAATTACTCTGCAGTAAAGACACAGCTTGGAGCTTTCATTGCTGTGACAAGAATAGCAACTGTAAATCTCATATTGTGAATTCTAAGTTGGAGAGAGCAGCATTGTTCCCCATAAAACACCAACTTTACTAGTATCCATGTTGTGCCCTTGCGACAGATTGACTCTAGTTCTGTTACTGTAGTTCACATGGCCTATTGATGTGCTTCTCATCTTACAAATCACTTCATCCTCACCGGACTTGTAGTGTGAAGATAAACGGTGAATAAGGTATAGGAGACAGGTGGAAAACACTCCAAATCACAAAGACCAACTATCTCTATGTTTCTGAACAATATTTCAGCTGGCCGTGTTGCTAAACCAAACAATTTGTTTAAAATAGAGACAAATGAGACGATCCCCAATTTTTGCTAAATGGAATCCAAGTGAAAAGAAAAAGAATTGGCCAGATCTAGTCACTCCACATTAACAGTGGGCTGTCTGGCACTATAATGTAAATAGCAACAAATTAATGTTTTCCCACTGCAGCAAACAGTTCATCTTTCTCACAGTGATTTGTTTTATTGCCAAATTTAAACTGAATGAAGAAAGAGGGTGACTGAGCCCAGAATTCAAGAAAGAGTTGGGCAAGTATTGTGAAAAAAAGACAAACAAAGAGACAAATGCAGGTCACAGGCAGAACGGGCATCAAGGCAGCCACCGCCACGAACAGACAGAATCACAGACAGAGAGACAGTCAGACGTTAGAATAAACACCAGAGCTCTCAGTGACGCCCAGGAAGAAATGATTTTCTTTGATGTCAAGCCGTGTGTCCTCACAGCAGTCTGAGGAATTGAAGCACTGTCCAAACAAACGTCAACACCCTCATGGTCAGTGTATGTGTGTGTGTGTTTCAGTCTAAATTTTGGTGTGCACACATGTATATGTGTAAGTACACTGAGAAGATGAGGAGGGACATGTACCCAAGACATGTGGACTTGGTCTGACAATTATGTATTTTCATAGCTAGTCTCTGAAGATACGAGATGCATAACTGGTTCTTACACAGGAGCCAAGATCTTCTGCACTAACCAACCTGCTGCTGTAAATATTGAGGATGTGAAATTCTCATACAACATTTACACATTTCTGACAACGTTATGGGTGTGTGCAATTTTAAACTGGTGCAATACCTATTTAAGACACAAGACCAAGCTTTTACTGATGCCATTAGACACGAGTTCCTAAGAGCAAAGTGAATGGATGTAACTAATAAACATAAAAATTATATTACAACTTAGAACCATCTGCAATTACATTATCTGGCATACATACATCAATGCTGTCCTGTTTCTTCGTTTAAAAAAATAAGGAAATTATTGCATGAAAAACTTTAGAAATAGAGATATTTTGTACACAAGTCTACATAATTGTTTCCAAGTTAGGCCTCATCTTGGATGAGGACTAGTCATTGCACTAAATCTCTTTAAAGTACTAAGAGCAGATTATTGTCCTAAATGAGGAAGTTCCAAACCGCACTTTTGTGAAAACTCCACTTTTGTCAGTTTTCACTTTGACTTTCTCACTGCAGTACACATGTCAGCGTTCTGTTTTGGCTCATCACAGATGACTGACTACACAGACAGCACTGCTGTACTCTGAAGGCAATCCTGGTAAACAGTGGTGTCCCATTACAGCAGTTTATTTAGGAGTCTGTTCTAGCCCAAACAGGGATTATGGCAAATCTCACTGCTCCCTCTTTTAGATCACTAAGTACTTTCTGCTGCTGAAGGCTAGTAGGCTGCTGAAGCATATGGACAGCTGTCAGTGTGTATGAGGGGGAGAGAGAGAAAAGACTAGGTGAAAAAGAAACAAAAAATGTGTAGCACTGAGAACAACGATGCTTATAGAAGAACCATCAAAGCAGTTCACACACACAACGACGAGTGAGCCGCACCTGAAATGTATTTACCACATTTAAAACTCAGTAAAGCTTGTCTACAATACACTTTTACTGGCTTTAACATAATATAAAGTGTAGAGGGGAAAAAACATCTAAAGCCGCTCAACTTGACTTGCCAAACTTCAACATAGTGCAAATGTGTAGGAGAGAAAAGAGTTTTGTGAACTTTTAAATTTAATTATCTGTTCAAGTTCTTGTCATTGCAACAAGACTAAGTGTGTTGCCCCCTTGGGGACAAATGACATGCATCCCCAGTCACTGATGTAGATCCACAAACAGCAGATTTTTTAAAATCAATTTAAGACCTTAGTGTTAAATGTTACTTGCTGAAGCTAAAAAAATACTCATTCACCATTAGCCACCACACAAATGCCGATATGCTTGAGTCATCTGAAACCTCTACCATGACAAAGCCAAGGCCTGCAATGGAAACACGTATTTAATGTCATCTCTCAAGAGAAATAATAGGAACAAGAGCATTTATCCACAATCTGGTTGGTATCTACAACAAATGCACAACAGAACAGTGAGATGTAATGGAAAAGCACAAGGAGGCTTCTTTGTTTTCCATTTACATGTTCATGACCCGAACAATAGCTGCTTCCCTCTTCATTTACACACACAGCTTTTCCACTCTGCAGTGTGTACCTCAGGGTCAACAACAATCACACTGAAAGATGCTGTTGCCAGTACACCTGTGTGTGTGTGTGCATGTGGGTTCACATTTGCATATCCATCAGTGTATGTGTGTGTCTCGGAGAGCGCGCTGGAGTGTATATGTGTGTGTGTCTCGGAGAGCGCGCTGTGGTGTACGTGTACATGCGAAAACACCATGTCATATTACAGCAGTAACGACCCTGCTGAAACATGTGTCTCCCTCTCAAAGGTTCCAGGCTGCTGTTCAATCACAACACCACACAACTGACCCTACCCCTACCTTAAAGAGGAGCCAACGTACCAACTAATAGAAGTTTGAGTGATTTGGTTAGACCAGTAGATAATTCTTTATTGCATTACAGTACAGAATTATCAGTTTGTACAGCTACATCAATCACTTACTGTTACTTTATTACCATCTTTGATAGTACTGGTCCATCACTGAACCCCTAATAAATACAATCCTACTTAGCAGTTGGTGAATATGAACATATTTTGGCACAAGAAAATGCAGTTTATATGTATATAATGAAATAAATGCCATCATCAACTTGGATATAGCATTTCAAGATATATAAATATTATTATAAACAATGACACCAAGATATTTGTCAACTGGCCCCGCCTCCTCCACCATTACAGCAGCAGATAGAATGAGATAAAATCAGCTTCAGGTGAACAAAATAGAATAGAAGCTTTATTGTCATTGCATGTAACATACAATGAAATTTGGTGTATACCATTCACTCCTCCGTTCACACCCGCAACACACACACCTACCCATAAAAACAGAAGAATGAAATAAATAGGTGAAAAAATATTCATAAAACAGATTTAAAGTGTCTTGTGTATGTTATTGCACAACAGTATGATACTGCACATTTGTTTAAGATTGTTGCGGTGGCGGTGAAGGGCTCTTAGATGAAAACTGTACTTAAGCGACATTAAAAAACAACAACTATTTTTGGGGGCTCTTAGATGAAAACTGTACTTAAGTGACATTAAAAAAAAACTATTTTTGCTATTTGATGAACACAATAATCCAAAATAACTTGCAGTATTTGCAGGAGTTGATTTGCTCTTACCTGTAAATGAGTCTTGAGGTAAGCAGAGTTTCACTTTCACAGATGAAGCTGGTCACACAGCTCTACGATCCCTACACAAATACACACAAATAAATACAGTGAGAAAATACGGTTTTACAAAAATACAGATAGCATGCACAAGAACATCAAATACAGCTGGTTTCCTCAAACTAACTTCGAGTAAAATCCTTAGATAAAACTCAGGTTTCCTTCATGCTAAGCAGCTTTCATAGACCTCACATGTCTGTCTTTATTTTATTCAGTATCAAGTTAAATAGTGCATACGGTCACACCAAAGAGCGGCATATAAAGAAACTTTATAATGTTTTGATTTCTGTAATACAGACACACAGGTTGTTTGCCAAGAATTGCACATTATTAGATCTTGTGAATGCAGGGTCAGGTCATACAAATCCCCACCCGTAGACCTGTAAAATTAAACTCAAATAAAATGTGACACTATGGGCAGGTTCATTTATTCATCTCTAAGAAAACACAGCCTCCAAAAGACAGTGGATTCATTTCACACAGTTTCTTTTAAATGCAACCCTATAAACCACTCCAACCTTATGTATACATGCATGTGTCTGTGATTTGTTTGTCTGTTTGTGGCCTTTTCTGCATGTGTAATGCACCATAGTAAGAACCACCATTAGACAAAGATGTCAATTCATGTTAGGCGTTTAAAAAGGCACGACTATCCACAAATCAAAGCTCTACAATCTTAATGTCTCTCAAACATCAAGCGGTGGAAAAAGAAATAAGAATGTATTATATTTCCTCAAATAAAGGTGCTATTCAGTTTCAGTGAAACAGGTCAAGTGCTGATTATCAACTTAGGGTAAAACTTAAAATCATTGTAAAGACAAAAAAAAAAAGAGACTAATGTCTGGATAAACTGGAATGAGGAAACCCACTGCCTTCACCAGTTTGACGGAGAAGTTTGCAAGTCAGCCTTTATTTACTGTATGCTGTGTGCTCTTAAAACAATTCTATCTATTTCTGTTTGACCTGACATGAACAGTCAAGGAGCAAAATAACCCGTAACATAAGTATGAGCATTAGATATTACAGCACTAAATAGTTGCTAGCAATTTACATACATTACCCGTCAAACATTTGGAGACAGTTTACCCATTCATTTCAAAGTGAAAGCATGTCTAAATTTGGTAGTGTAAATATGAAAAACAATTAACAAGAAACATAAATGTCAGCATTTGTGTGTGTGTGTGTGTGTGTGTGTGTGTGTGTGTGTATGTATATATATATATATATATATACATATAAAAAATGGAAACAGTGTACATGAACCCCTACTGAGACAAATGGCTTCAACCTGCCTCATATCTGATCTGAGGTATGTGGGAAGCAGAGAAAATGCCACTGTGAGTGTCAGTTTACAGTTCAGCCTTCAGGTATCACACATCGACGTGTCACGGCGAGTGCGCCAGACAGAGTTGGTTGTTTCCAAAAAGGATTAGTGAGGCGGATTACTGCCTAAATCACTCCTTTCACCAAGTTCCTACAAAATGTCATTTCTCTTTCTCTGCTTCACAATAGCCAATAAAAACACTGACAGGTTGGGTGACATGAGGAAAGAAGCAGCCTGTAGATAGACACAGGTGCATTTTCTCACGTACACCGTCCTTCATTTGCATGTGTTTTTATGTAACCCACTCTCATCTATGTGAAGTCTTGCACAAAGGAGAGAAATGTGTTGTTTGAAGAACACAGATGTGAAGATGACGTATTGTGATGACTGAGAGGCTGCAATGTGTCAGCTAGTTCACTTTAGCAGTCGCATAAAGTCAAACAAAACAAAACAATAACAAAAAAGTCACAGGCACGGTTACATAAACCCATCCACGCACACATAAACAAACTCCACATCGTATGAATAGCTTAAGTTAAGGCTACAGTATGTGACTTTTTTCTTCTTTTTTTTTGGTAGAAACATGCTCCAGAACTTGTCTTAATGTGGAGAGGTGATGTCGAAGCCTCCTGTGACCCAGACTCACTGAACATCACTGGCAGCAGTGCAGAGAAATTAGCTTCTAAAAGGTTTTGAGTGGGATTGACCTCCCTAACCAATCAGAGACTTTCAATTATTTCTGCTTGATCAGTCAATTTAGTTGCATTCTCATTTCTTGTAATTTCATAAGAACAAATACCTGAAGAGTTGGTGTGACAGAGCACGGCAGATCATAGTAGAGCATAGTGGAGCAGGGAGAGGGAGTGCTGGACAGAGCAGAGTGGACTGATTTGGAGTTTCATGCTAGTGCTACCTTAAGTTACATACTGTAACTTCAGTTTCATCATCAGGAAAATACTGAATGTATACCGCAGTCCAAGACGTTTTGCATTGCTGTCAATGTTTTCTTGTTATAGAGGTAAAAACCTGTAGGAACATAAAGTGGTCCAGGATCCACTTATTTTCAGCGTTTCCCAGGTTAAAAACATTTGAGCTTCTATTCAAACGCTTTGGTAGTTGTTGGATGAAGTTTAATCTAGTTGTCCCTCTGAAATAAAATGTGGTGAAAAAAAAAAAAAAAGACTCCACAGCAACACATTCACATGCTCTCATTCCAAGTTGTCAAACTGTTATGAACTTGATCCTGATCTCAGACCTCTGTACAACCCCTCATACCACCCATACTCCACCATCATCTGCAGTGCTATCAGATAAAACAGTACTGCCATAGAGGTTTTAGAGGTTTCAGTAAATTCTAGAAATCCATTAAAAGAAAACACATGATCAAATTCATGGGAGTCTGCAAGTAGCCAAATGTCCAAACAGAAGATTTATTCATACTTATGGGTAATGTGGCAATCATTCAGCAAGCCTGGCCTTTTACCCTGCACTAACACATCACTGGTCTGAGGCACTTCTGTTAGCTGGTCACACACAAATACACAAAAACACGCACATTGTGAAAGCGAACATTAAACCTGCAAGTCTATCTGGCACTGTGCCTGATGCCCAGTTTATGTCTTCTAATGAAAAACCCACACAAGCTGTTTGTAACAGATAGAACATGTGGTCTACAGTAAAAATAGACTCAACATGCAGTATAGTGTACCTTTTATCTTCTGTTTCTTAGCTTTTTCTGACCTTCTTTAACATACAATCATAGGAGGGCTGTGTTCCACAGCCAGCAGCAGCTCTGAAATCGTATTTACAACAACCTGGCTGGATTAGATTACAACGAAAACCATCAAACTCATTTTACAGGCCAGAAACTCCCCCAGGAAGGCATCACAAAACAGAAAATGTTTGGAATTCAAAATCCATTGTCAGTATATAAGTTTGTATTTCCCTGTACAGTAGTACAGCAAAGTAGTATGAGTTGGAGAAGACCATGATACTGATACTGCACAGACAGCAGGGAGGCAGAGTGGGTGCAATGAGGCACAGAACAGACTGATAGTTTAATTATTTCTAACAAGGAGTACACTATGTTTTCTCCAGCTACAAACCAGATCCTGCACAGACATGCTCCATTTAACTTGCATGTCAAATTAAAACTGCACCGTGTATGCACGCACGTACATTCTTGCAGTTTAAATTCAGTTACGTGAAGAGGAACATGGTGTAAAGGATGCTCATTGTTTTTCTTTAATGAAAAACATTCCCAGAGTCCATTTATGATACAATGGCAATATCAACGCCAGCAGCACAAAACAGGAGTATTTAATTCTCTTAGACAAACTCCTGCCAACTCCAATAAAATTCATGCAACCAATGTAGCCTGACCTCAGTTGAACTCTTCCCCTTTACATAAACCTTCCTGATGTAATTGAGATACCGTGCTTCCAGCACAAATAGTAGATGTGATCTCCGAAAAGCCAACATTGTAATATTTTACTCTGGTAATGCCCTCATTTATATTTAGCCACAGGTTCAGTCCTTACAGTTGCCATGTATCCTGTCTGCATGTTGCATTTAGTTTTCTGTAAGATACTCTCATTTAAAATATCCCTATTTATTGTACTACCTGATGGCAGCCCGCTGAAGGACTCAGAAGGTGCATCCTGTCAGTCAGTCAGTCAGTCAAAACATCTGCAGACCCCCCCCACCCCTCGGGCTGAAGCTGCCAGTACACAGTAACTTTGACTTATGCACTGAAGTATATGTGATGTGTTTCTTTAGAAAACACTGCCAGCATGGTGAAGTACAGTATGGAGTCATGAGCAGGTTAGAGCTGTGTGTATGTGTCTGTGCCTGTGCACAATGGTCCTTGCAGTGTGAATTTTAAGAGGTGCCTGAGATGGAGAACAGCATCTTGAAGGATATGACTCATCACTGGCTCTATACACCCCTATATACCTTCTCTACGTAGAAACAAGTAACAGATCTACCACACCTGCAAGGTTACCAAATCTTTTCCACCTGTTCATTCTGGAATCTTTATCCACTTCAGCACTGTCAGGCGCAAATGTGTTCAACTTGTTTAGTTTAACTGGTTAAATGTGATGAAGGGCAGAAAATTAGAACTTTGTTGTTAACTTAAATGAGCTGTGACTTGGGCCTTTATGTGCAAAAGAACAGATTTATGGATGAACTAGCATGCCTGGAAGATCAAAACAGTTGAAACCTGAAACACAGCACAAATTATCCTACCAGTCAATTAATGTGACATCTCTCCTTATTTTGTCTTCTCCTTCTTCTCTTCTTACACAAAAACAACAAAGACAGAGGGACTTCAACACCACAGCGAAGCAGATCCACCATATGCTCCTCCTAAATAAATCTGGGGAGTGTTTTTATGACAGAAAACATTTAAATAAGAAAGGAAATTATATGAAAATTGAGATTTTGAATACAGTAGTGGCATCTGCACAGTTGCATTTTGCTTTGTGGGAAAAATTGTTGTGACCCACATTTATTGAACACCCAGGCAGCAATGCAGAGATATTCCATTCTAAAAGTTTCGGAGTTAGGCTTGCCCTTCTAACCAATCAGAGAAGACCCACATCAGGGGTGGGAGTTTGTAAATCAATATGCAAATGAAGTTCAGGTCCACTGCTCCCCTTGTACAAAGGCTTCAGGTGACTCGCAGGGTAACAAGCT